TGGGACTCAGCGATGTCGGCACGCTCCTCCGCCTCGTCCAGCTCATGTTGCGCCTTCCGCAACTTGGCCAGGTTGGTGTTGGCCTGGTCCTCCTGGGAGGGAGTTCGGGGGGCATCAGTAGGGCGCCCCACAGCTACCCCTCCACCTTGCCCCACAGCCACCTTCATCCACCCAACCTTCATCGAGCCTTCATCCATCCAACCTTCTCGTCCATCCCATCATCCATCCATCTTTTCTTCCATTCATCTCACCGTCCATCTGTCGTCTTCTCCTCCATCCCACCATGCATCCATTCTTCTCCTTATCCATCCATCCATCCCACCATCCATCCATGTTCTCTTTCATCCATCCCACCATCTATCCATCCAGCCGTATCACCCCCTCCCAGCACCCACCGCCTCCTCCGCCTGCCGCTTGTAGGCCTTGACTTTCATCTGCAGTTTGTCCACCAGGTCCTGCAGCCGCAGCAGGTTCTTCTTGTCCTCCTCCGTCTGCAGAGCAGGAGAAAGACGGGGCTGGAGAACGGCCCCTGGGACACAACCCAGCTCTCCTGGGCTTGAGGCACTTGCCGTGCCTCAGTTTCCCTGCCGGGAGACCTCCTGGTCAAGGATAGGTGGAGGCTGAGCTGTGGTCCAGCTTCTCCATGACCCTACGGCCACTTGGTCAATGGGATTCTAGGTCATGGGTGAGATCTAGGGCTCTGGTATCCTGTGTCTCTGTGTGTATGGAGGCAACAAATGATGTTCTGGGTCATACGTGTCTCTGTGGCCACCGGGTCAATGTTCTGGGTCACCTGTGTCTCTATGGCCACCAGGTCAACCTTCTGGGTCACCCATGTACCTGCAACGACCAGGTCAACCATGTTCTAACTCCATGGATCTAGGGGCAGCGGGTGATATTCTGGGTCTCTCCCTGTCCCTGTGTCCACCAGCTCTGCTGTGTTTTAGGTCACGCCACAGGTCAGGATGAAGAAGGGCCGGGCTGCGATGACCCCACCTGGTAGCTAAGCTCCTTGACGCGCCGCTCGGACTTGCGGAGGCCCTTGATGCTCTCAGCGTTGCGCTTCTGCTCAGCCTCCAGCTCGTTCTCCAGCTCCCTGACACGAGCCTCCAGCTTCTGCAGCTGCTTCTTGCCCCCCTTGAGGGCCAACTGCTCGGCCTCGTCCAACCGCAGCTGCAGGTCCTTGATGGTCTGCTCCATGTTCTTCTTCATCCGTTCCAGGTGGGCACTGGTGTCCTGCTCCTTCTTCAGCTCCTCCGCCATCATGGCCGCCTGCCCGAGGGGAGAGGGAAGGAGGGCCGAGGCAGGGTTCTGCCTCCTTGTCCAGCGCCTCCGCCATCATGGCCGCCTGCCCGAGGAGAATGTGAAAGAGGGCCGAGGCATCTTCTCTCCATCATCCAGCAGTGGAAGGGGTGTCCTTGGTGGCAGTCCCACCACAGTACTCACATCGGTGATGGCCTTCTTGGCCTTCTCCTCGGCGTTCCTGCACTCCTGGACAGCCTCTTCCACCTCCGTCTGCAGCTGGGAGATGTCAGCCTCCATCTTCTTCTTCTGGTTGATGAGGCTGGTATTCTGGAGACAGGGGAGAGGACCTTGGGAGGAGGCGGTGGGGCTGCTGGCCCAACCTTCTACCGCCCCAAGCATGTAGAGCCCCCGACACCCCAGATCTCGGTGAGCGGAGCCAGAAGAAGCCCACGCCCATGGTACGGCCGGGCTCTGAGTGTCCCTGGCTGGAGGTGACCTCTCTCCTTGGAGGTACCTGAGGTCTCACCTGGGAGTGGAGGAGCTGGACCCTCTCGCTGGCCTCGATCAGTTCCTGCTCGGCCAACTTGCGGGCCCTCTCCGTCTGCTCCACCACTGCCCGCAGCTCCTCCAGCTCCGATTGCAGGAGGTTGTTCCTCCGTTCCACGATGGCCATGTTCTCCTTCAGGTCCTCGTTGGCCCGCACCACCTCATCCAACTGCAGTTGGGTGTCCTGTAAAGCGGCATCGGGGCAAAGACGGTGAGCAGGGACAGGCAGGAAGGGGGTGGGACATCCCCGCTCAAGCACCAACCGTGGGATGGTGGGAACTCGTCAGAGGCCAAGTGGCCGACGGGTACCTTGAGGTAGCCCTGCAACGTCTTGACTTGCTTCTGGGCCTCAGCAGCCAGCCGATTGGCGTGGCTGAGCTGGATCTCCATCTCGTTGAGGTCGCCCTCCATTTTCTTCTTCAGCCTCAGGGCCTCGTTACGGCTCCGGGTCTCGGCATCCAGCGAGGTTTGGAGCGAGTCCACCACCCGCAGGTGGTTGCGCTTGGCCTGCTCCATCTCCTCGTCCTTCTCGGCCAGCTTGCGCTCGTAGTCTGCCTTCACCTGGTTGAACTCCAGCTGGGCCCTCAAGATCTTCCCCTCCTCGTGCTCCAGAGAGGCCTGGCCAGGGACAGAGGGGACATTGAGGACCCCGGAGGAGGCCAGGAGAAAACAGCGATGCATGGGGACGTGGTTTGGCTCACCTCAGCCTCCTCCAGCGCAGCTTGAAGCTCCAGCTTCTCGGCGTCCAGCTGCTTGCGGACCTTCTCCAGCTCATGGATGGTCTTGTGGCTGGCGCCCAGTTGCTCCGTGAGGTCCGAGATCTCCTCTGCGTGGGAGAGATCCCGTCAGAGCTGACAGGGAGGAGGCTGTGGGCAGGGGGAGGATGGTGGTCTCACCTTGGAGGTTCTTATTCTCCCTCTTGAAGGTCTCCAGGTGCTCAAGTGACTCCTCATAGGCGTTCTTCAGCTTGAAGAGCTCCGTGCTGAGGGACCTGGCCTCCTTCTGTGAGACCTCCAGCTCCGTCTGTGACTCCTCGAACTTCTGCTTCCACTCGGACAAGATCTGGGACCGAGGGTGCCGTCACCCTCTGCCCCCCCACCCGTTGCCCTCCCACCGCAGCCACCCTCTCCCACCTTGTCAAAGTTCCTCTGCTTCTTGTCCAAGGCGGCAGCCGCCGCGTTTGACCGCTCCAGGTCTGCCATCAGGTCCTCGATCTCGTTCTGCAGCCGGTGCTTGGTCTTCTCCAGGGAGGAGCACTTGGCGTTGACTGCCTCCACCGCCTCCTCGGCCTCCTGCAGCCGCTGGGCCAGCTTCTTCCTTGCCCCAAGGGGGCAACCGAGATGCCCAGCCGTGGTGACCCATACCCCAACCCAACCCTTCTTTGCCCTGAGGGCGACCAGGGTTCCGCTCGCGCTAATCCCAACCTTGGGACGTCCTAGTAACGTGCCCTGCCCCCGATGACTCACTTGGCCTCCTCCAGCTCCTCGGTGCGCTGGATGGCGTCCGTCTCGTACTTGGTCCTCCACTGCGCCACCTCAGAGTTGGCCTTGGAGAGCGACCGCTGAAGCTCGGCCTTGGCCTCCATCTCCTCCTCATACTGCTCCCGCAGCAGGTCACAGTCGTGCCGGGCCGACTGAAGGGCATGGGCCAGCGCGTTCTTGGCCTGAGGGTGGGTGAGGAGAAGGTGAGACAGTAGGGTCTGTGTCAGCTTGAGTCATATTGGGGTTCTCCAACTCAGCAAGAGGTGGTCTTCATCACCCCGACCCAACCAGACCTTCTGGAGACCAACCCAACCTCATCTAGGCTAGCCCAACCTTCCTTAGACCTCCTTTAGACCAACCCAACCTCTTCTAGACCAACCCAAAGTCCTCTAGACCAACCCAACCTTCCTTAAATCCTTTTTAGACCAACCCAACCAGACCAAGCTTCCTTAGACCTCCTTTGGACCAACCTAACCTCTTCTAGACCAGCCCAACCTTCCTTAAACCTACTCTGGACCAACCCAAACCAACCTCCTCACTACCCACCAACCCAAACCAACCTCCCTGAGACCCACCATCGCACCCCAAACTTCCTGAGAACCCTCAACTCGTTTACTCCCACTGTCAGGGAGGGCTCACACTGCGCCCCAGTACCAAACCAACCTCACCCTTCCCTTGGTGGTGTCTTTCACCACACACCTCCCCAATGAAGCCCTACCTTGGCCTCTTCCTCCAGTTGCCTCTTGAGGTCCTCCAGCTGCTGGGTGTAGGTGAGCTTCCCTCGCATCAGCTGGTTGATGAAGGCTTCCTTCTCCTCCAGCTGTCTGGAGAGCTCCCCTGGGGGTGGAAAGGTGGAAAATTGCTCACTGGAGAGACCCCAAAGCCACCCCATTGGGCACGGGCTTGGCGATTAGGTTGGGGCAGAGCAAGGCCTTCACCATTCTCCGTCTGGAGCTTGGCTCGTTGGGTGGTGAGGTCATTGACCATGCGGTGAGCCTCTTCGGACTTGGTCCGGTTCTCGTTCATCTGGTCTTCCATGGTGCGGCACATCTTCTCCAGGTTGGCCTGGAAGAGAGCAAAGGACGGGAAAGTGACAGAGAACATAGGGAGAACGACAGCAGAGTTGGTCCCTTTGCGGCCGGAGACTCATCTCCTACCTTGGCCTTGATCAGCTGCTCCGTGTTGGAGCCGAGGTCGTCCAGCTCCAGCTTGAGCTCACTCTTCTCCTTCTCCAGCTTCTGTTTAACGCGCTGCAGGTTGTCCATCTGCTCACTGAGCTCGGCCACGCTGTCGGCATGCTTCTTGCGCAGGGCAGCGGCCGTGGCCTCGTGCTGCAGCGTGGCCTCCTCCAGGTCCCGCCGCATCTTCTGGAACTCCACCTCCCGCTTCTTGGTGAGCTCGAGCTGCACCGAGGTGGCACCGCCCGCCTCCTCCAGCCTCTCGCTCAGCTCCTCCAGCTCCCGCGACAGCTCCGAGCGCAGCTTCTCCACCTTGGCCCTGCCCGTCCTCTCTGCCTCCAGCTCCTCCTCCAGCTCCTCGATCCGCGCCTGGGCTCCGGGGAGGCAGAGGCTGGCACCAGGCTTGGCTCCACCCACCTCGTCCACTCCACTCAACCCAACCGGCTGGA